TAATTCGTTGGAAAATCTGCGTTTTTCTTAATTCGTCTGTGTAATTTGCGAGATTAAGATTGGTTTTGATGATGCGTTGTAGTGCAGCTAAAGGCATTTAGAGACGAGCGTAGCGGGAAGTTTCTTCCCCTAAATGGGCTGTTTTCAGTCTACTTCAAGAAAACAATTTCCTGGTTATGAAGATCCCGTTCAACTTTCATCTCAAACTGCTTGTAAGAAAACAGATTGATTTCTTTTCCTTTCTAAATTTACAACACTTCGTCATTATCAATCTTTAAGTTATTTGGTTCATTGTCTATTTCTTTTGTTACATTTGAAATCCCGTTGTCTCGGTTTGCTTTTGCAGTCAGTGTAAGTGAGGTTGAAGCATTATTTGAACTGTTCAAGAGCATCAGCAGTTCTGTCATTGATGATGGGCTAATCAATAAGGTAATTTTCCACCGTAATATTATTGACCAAACAACCCCTCTCATTCTCCTTATGAATTGAAGCGTGTCTCGATTTTCTAATGGGGTTTCTTGCTGAAAAGGTGTTAGTCCACCAGTCCAAATCTGTTTGCTTTAATTTGAATCTTTAATTTGCAGAGGTGTAACGTGTAGTTGTTGCACTATATTCTGCCTATTGGGATTTTTCCATCGACGACGACATATACTTATATACTATATTTTTTCTTTTATTTTTTTTTTTTGATATTTGAACTGTATTTCATGTGCAGGAAGAACTTCAATTGGCTCTATTTAAGAACAGGAAAAAAGAGAATCTTTTTGCAAACCGAGTAAGTAATCTTGACATCGGGCATTTCCGTGCTATTTTGAGTATAATCTGATTGCCTTCTTTTGTTGTCTTCTCTTATGTCATGCATGCATTTCAATCTATTATCGCTAACTTTATTCCATGTGCAGATCTTTGACCTCTTTGATGTGAAACAAAAAGGAGTGATTGATTTTGGTGATTTCGTTAGATCACTCAACGTTTTCCATCCAAATGCACCACAAGAAGATAAAATTAACTGTAAAGCTGATTAGATATTATCTCTATTCCTTTATACCTCAGAAACCTACAGTCAACAAAATTAATCCTAACTTGTTATTTTTATAACCTTCAAGTTTCGTTCAAGCTATATGATATGGACGGAACTGGATATATCGAGCGTCTAGAGGTAATTCACTCGTAATTTGTCTAGGTTTTCATACTTGCCATTTGAAACAACTTCATGAATATTCCTCACGATATTGGTTTACTCATAAAACACGAGTAATGTACGCTCGTTATTCATTTAATTCAATTATTAATGAGTATGTGCCGAAGAAAAAAGGGTATTAATCGTGTCATTTTATTTTCCATTTAAATCAATTTGCAGGGTCTTCATTCATAATTGATTTTCGCAGGTGAAGCAAATGTTGATTGCACTTCTGTGTGAATCTGAGATGAAGCTGGCTAATGAGACGATCGAGATGATTCTGGATAAGGTAAATATACAATTAAGTATATCTCGTTTTGTAATATATACATAAATATTTTTCTGACTCGTTGAACTTTTCACTGAATGGTAAAATAACAGACATTTATGGAAGCCGACGTTGACCAGGATGGAAAAATTGACAAATCTGAATGGCACAATTTTGTTGCCCGAAATCCTTCGTTGTTGAAGATAATGACACTTCCATATTTGAGGTATTATTTTCGTGTCACAATATATATACATGTGTATATATATTTATATATATTATATATATATATATGATGTGATTCTTGTGGTGAATGCAGGGATATTACAACGACATTTCCAAGCTTCGTTTTCAACTCGGAGGTTGATGAAGTTGCGACATAAACTGATGAGATTTACCTGTCTGTGTACTGTAGTTTAGAAAAATACCGAATTTTTTTACCGACCACGTTGAAAGAGAATTATTATAATTTGTATTTTTGGATGGTACTGCATATTATCGATTAATTATGGTGAGGATGCGGCGGCGTGAATTTTATCACATCCCCCCTCCATTTGTATTGGTATGTCTAATAAATTGTATTTCCGGTTTTCATCTTTCTGTGTTGTGAAAGTCGATCACAATTATGAGTATGTCAATCTTACCAAAAGAATTGAGGATTAGGTGACTAAATTAACACTTCATTAGGACTTAATTTCAAATTTTATTTAACTTTTTGAATTATTTATTTTGCAATAATTTTAAAATTTGTAACCTTCTTTTGAGTAATTTTGGTGGATTTCAAATTATTTAAAATTCTTTATCTAATTAAATTCAAATATCGAAGTAGATAAAGTTTGTTCTTGATTCAAAATGGACTGGATCTAAAAGTAGTTTCTACAAAACACCAAAAACCAAACCCTAAACTCACAAATTCTATCATAATCCTTCAAGATTCGAAAATCATTACAGATTTGAAGGCGATTTCTACTTCGAACTACTTATATTTATTTTTGTTCTTTTGAATGTGTAACTGTGTACCAACCTTCGTTAGGAGAGTTGGTACCTAACATTACCAATAGGGTAAAGTTCTAGGGTTCGTGTCGCCTTCGCCTCTACTCCCCTTTTAAATCACTTGAATTTACTCAAAGAAAACAAAAATGTGCAGCTGTGTCATCATGCTCAAACGGAGTCAAGAATCGTATCCATGCTTAGTTTGGGTGTGAAAACAATAGAATTACCGGAATTATTTTCGAAAATGCATAAAAAAATCGGAATTTCCAAAACAAAAAAATAATAATAAAATAAATATATATTTATTTATTTTCAATTCCAATTCTAAAAAATTGAAAATCGGAGTGCCAGATATCATCATCTAGTTAAAAAATTAACAGATCGGAATCGGCGGAATTCGGGATATTCCGTTCCGACTTGGAGGGTAAAGTTGCCCTTTCACTTGTGATTTTCCATAGTTCTTATTAAGGGTATCTAAGTCTTTTGCATGGTTAAGTCGGATTTAACATAGAGAACTCCACTGGTAGTGAATAGTGATAGACAACAAACCCGGAGAAGAAGAGGTGGCAATGAATCGGTGAAATTCTTCTGATTTGATTACAATTTTCACAGTTGAAGAAGAAAACATGGCAGAATCAAACCATTGAAATTAAAAAAATTGTAATAATCGTGTCCTCCAATTTCCCCCGCCATCTCGCCGCCGCAACCGTATTCACCTGCGCCGTCGCCACTCATCTTTTCCATCAACGCCGCCGTCTCCTCCGCACAGTAAATCCAAAAGCTTCCTCCGACATTTCATTTCCCTTCAAATCACACTCAACAACAGGTTTTGCCTCTCTCTCTCTCTCTCTCTGTCACGAAATTATTTATTCACTAGTAGTATGTTTCTTCAGAATTCAGATGGTACAGTAAACGAATTGCTTGTGCAACTGCCAAAAAAAAAAAGTTAATTAATTTGCACCTTAATTTCTGGTCTACCAAAGATCTTCCCTTTCCAATTAAACTTACGAGTTGGTTCAGTCTATTGATTTGATGTTAAACCTAATTGGAGAAATTGATCAGGCAATTGTTTTTTGCCATTTCAATTTAAGAATTTCAAAGCTAAAATTTCCTTTTTTTCTTCTGTGAAGTAAATTGCAGACAAAAATTGAGAATATGAGGCTTCTGAAGGTAGCAACTTGCAATTTGAATCAATGGGCAATGGATTTTGATTGCAATATGAAGAATATTAAGGAGTCCATTTCTAGGGCTAAAGAATCGGGCGCCGTGATTCGGTTGGGCCCCGAGCTTGAAATCACTGGCTATGGCTGTGAAGACCATTTCTTGGAACTCGACACTGTCAATCACGCGTAAGCTCACAACTCTATGTCTATGGTGGTGTTTGCAAAAGCTTTTACAAATAGATTATGAGTTTTTTTCTGCACATAATCTGTTTTTTAAGCGTTTGCTTCTCTTAAAATAAGCTCCTTTAAGCTATAATTTTTAAAGCACCCATATACATGCCTTTTCTATTTTAGTTGATTTTCTAGCTAATTTGCAAAGATCCCCAACTTTTAGAAATAAACACTTAATTTCAACTTAACTCACAATCACTAACTTCTGCTTTTAAACAAGCTCTTGCAAACACCACCTATGCATTCTTTGTTAAGTGATTATTACTATTTTTTTTTTGTTTTGGTTTTGGGACACATAAATCGTTCCGTTTGCACGATTTTCGTTTAGACACTTTTTTATCAATCAATTTTACAGGTGGGATTGCTTGAAAGAGTTATTACTCGGCGATTGGACGGACGGCATATTGTGTAGTTTCGGAATGCCTATTATCAAGGGGTCAGAGCGGTACAATTGTCAAGTCCTTTGCTTGAATCGGAAAATAGTGATGATACGCCCGAAGATGTGGCTCGCAAATGACGGAAACTATAGAGAACTCAGATGGTTTACGGCATGGAAGCAAAAAGACCGTCTTGACGACTTTCTTCTTCCAAGTGATATATCCGAGTCTCTGTCGCAAACAACTGTACCGTTTGGCTACGGGTATATCCAGTTTCTTGACACGTAAGCTATCTTGTCTTGCAAACTTAGCTTTTTTCATCTCTTCATAGTTATCTATTGTA